CGAGGATCACTTTTGTTTGCATCAAGGTTTTCAGAAAAGTATTTACGTTTAGCTTTCTTCACTGAGTTATTGGCCTTATTTCTTGCATCTATAAACTGTTTCCAAATCGAAGGGTCATTTGTAGATGCAGCTTTCTTTTTTAGAAAATCTCTTTTATATATTAGTAATCCAGGGAGACCGTTTGTTTTTAACCCTTTTTGTTCTGAATGGTTCATGCTTATCAATAACATTCGCTAACAGGTGTTTCCAAAAGTCCCACATTTCATTTGGGTTATTGTGCGTTGTAACGCGGTTCCAGTCAATGATGCGAAGATCTGGCAAACATTCAGCTTCACTGAAATTCTCGAGCTGTCGGACTTCCACAGTTATGCATATTGGAGCATATAAATATGGAAAAGAAACTAGAGAATTTAGGGTTTGAAGTGACACTCGATTTACTTGGGGACAGTACTGAGTAGCCTGTTCGCAGACCTTCTATTTTCTCTTCAAAGTCCGTCGAAGGCGAGTGATAAAAACCGCGGGGGATTTATTGACCGCCAGCGCAAGGGGGTAGGGGTGGGGGCGCACTCCGCGCTCGTTTCCAAGTTAGTTCGCTTTTTTAGTTTTAAAAAATAAATTGTTCTAAAAAATTTTGGCTGCCGTGGTGGGCTGGGGCAAGTGAGAAAAAACAGTTGTAGTTCAAGTATGTAACATAAAAACAGTTTTAGAAGTATCTCGATATTACGAAACCTCGTTTTAGTGAACATATTTTAGGTAGGCTAAAGAGAGGAAACATTCGGACATTTCGGTCAAATCGAGAAAGGCGGGAATCTTGTGAACAAAAGATACAAAAAATATATTGAACAAGAACGCGCTTACAGCGGCATTTTGGTCTCGCTGCTCGGAGATTAGATCGAAAAATGAGGCGGCGGTTAATTCTACAAGAAACATGATTTACTGGCCAAAGGGTTTTTACTTCCTACTTTATCGACGTCGATACTTTTTATTTGTTTCTGAATTGATTTAGTACGCGTGTTAGCGACGACGAAAAATACCTCTGCAGTCGCAGGTTATGCGCGTGCATAAATACACGAGAATTCAAGGGCCTCGTTTCCAGAGAAATTACATCATTGCCAGAGATCGAAAAAGTGATTCACATGGCACGTCATTTCAATCATCGCCGAAAATAAATCGCATGCTCATCACAAGACTCATTTGCATACAGTGAAAGTTTACAACTCCCCAATTTTGCTAATTAAGATTCTTATTTTTTTTCCGACCACTCAGTAGTGTTCACTTGCTCCAAAGTAATCAACGCTTTCAAGCGATAGAATTCGTGGACCGACACGTTTCGGAAAAGCTCTAAATGTAATCTTTCCCAAGCTTTCTTCGCAGAACATGCGTGGCCTCGATCACGCAACGATTCTTAGTCCCATTTCCACGTTGTCGGCAAGGAACGCCTAGCACAATGACCTGCCTTTTGTGTCCCAAAAAACGACCAAAAATTCCGGGGGGAAGTTACTTCTAGAAAAATTGGGAGGGGTTGTGCGGCACTTTTCCTGAAACCCTTACCCTATATCAGACCAAAATCTGTGATTTTCCCTACCCTATTTCATACCTGATCAAAAATTTGATACCATATTTCAGACCTGAAGCCCTGGAGCCCCATGCGTGACAAGCTGTTACGGCACGTACACGGTAGTTGGCGTAAACATTTAAAGGGAAATGGTCTTATCGACAAATAATGAAGAAGTAGCTAATTCTCCTATAAAACATACCCAATTGAAGACTACAGTGCACAAACCATACCCTATTTCAGACCAAAATGGTCGAAATTGATACCCTACTTCAGATCAAAACGGCTCAATTGGCGCGGCATATACCTATATAGCCTATATAAGGGACTACTCCCCCCCCCCCCGGGGGGGGGGGCGAAAAACGCTAATTACGCAAGCGAGATTAAAAGATGATTAAAAAGTAATATAAAAAATGAATGAAAATAAGTAAATCGCCGAAATTTATGAACCCTTCCCCTCGGCCCTCGCCAAAAACCCACACTGCAAAAAAGGAGACTAAAATTGACTTCTTGCTCTTGACAAATTTACCGGGTGATGACACATTTTTGCATAACAACAGTCAATCACAAGGCTAATGCGATAAGTGCTCTCCAGCTCCTCATGTGGGTTACAGTAGGCTCATAAATAGACTGATAGCCGCTGCCAGTGACGCCTTGTATGCTAAGTCCGAGCTTACTGTTAAGATGTAAAGGTAGGCTCGATTACCAGCCGCTGTTCTGGAAAATGAGCCCGCACTCATCCCCCGAGGGTCATCCCGAGCATCAAAGACCGGACCCGGGAGACGGCGGAAATCGAGCCTAATGTAAAGGTAGCGCGTCTTGTTGCCTCTTATGAACGACATTCATTCATACATTCAGCGAAAGCGAGCGAGAGAAAAAAGGAAGATGAATTTGTACGTTGAAAAACAACCTGGAAATTTTATAGCCGCGGGTAGAAAATGAGAAATACCAGCGGCAGTCAAGTTGGAAATGAGCGGTAGTGAAAAAAAAGGGAACATGAACCCAAGCAAAAAATGTTTTTGTGAGCACATACGACATTTCCTCCATAAAACGTGTAACTAGAAAGTTTCACGTTGTAGTCGTGCAGCAAGAAATGGCAATGAAATGTACTACGCAAAAAGTGTGCTGCGCGTAAAAAAATGTTTGTTTGCTAATTAGACCACTTAACTTTTTTTGCCGTTCTTGATGCCGTCGCTGATTAGCGTTACGTGACCTTTTTTTTGTTTGAGTAAATTATAAGTAATTTATTAACGAGAGCTTCGGTTTTAGCCAAATCTATATATCACTAATTGCGAAATACTTGTTTTCTTAAAGTCACGAGTTACAGCTACGCGATGTCATCTGATAGAAATGGGAGGCTTGTTTATCGTGCTGGATCAAAAAAGGGTCCAATATTTGACGACGACGTAAACAGAGATGAGGGTAAGTAAGTATTTTGTAAAAAACTATCTACTTTAATGAAGTTTTGTCATTATATCTATGAACTTCATCCATTCCTCAGGGTTTGAGCTAGGATTTGATCACTGGGGGACAATTTGTCCCCTTGGCTAAAATTTTGGGGGACATTTTCATTTTTAGGGGGACAGAAATTTGTACACCCTTCCTTCTTAGCAGGGCTTCTGATAGGTCTCGGACGAAAAAGTCAAATTTCGCGGGATTTTTAGGGACAAATTCGCGGAAAAATCGGCCGATTTCGCGGGAGTTTTCGGGGCAAACTTCACCGAAAAGCAATCGGTAAAAAACGGCCGATTTTGTGGTTATTTTCAAGGCAAATTTCGCTAGAAATCGATCGGTTTTGCGCTGATCAGACCAGCCTTTTTAACGTTTTTCTAACAGAGGTCATCATTTGCTCTTTCAACAACAATACGCTCCAGAAATGAACCAATGGCAAAGCCTTTAACATGATGGCTAGTGCCCAGTTTTTCGCAACCTAATCTGTTTGCACGTTTCAGTGACGAAGTTCCAAGATAAATTTGCAAGTTTACGGCAAGTAAATATCCCCTATAGCTGAAATAAATTTCAAATAATGTTGTACAGTCATGTATTTGATAAGATTTCTACCAAATTTCGCGGTAGTTTTCGTGTTTTTGTGAATTCCGCGGCTCCGCGACCGCGCGAAAAATCAGAAGCCCTGTCTTAGATTTCCGACAATAATAGCAGTAGAGCGTGACTGAAACGTAACTTTGGAATGAACTTTAAAGGTGCGATAAAATATACTTTCCACGTTCTGTTTCAGCTTGCAACGTCTGTACCGAAATAAATCTCTTCGTGTGTGCTTCTTTTCGAATTTTTTCCCTAAATGTTGAAGGGGACAAATTGTCCCCTTGGCCGTTTTTTAAAGGGACAATCCCAATTGCAGTGCGGCCTTGGCGCAATGGCGCGGCCTGGCTCAAACCCTGATTCCTACACCCTGAATTAAACTATAAACTTAAATTTCCCGCCCGTTCATGGTCCTTTCTAGTTTATTTCCCATGCCGTCATAAGTCATTTGCCAAAAATAACTTTTTTTTTTCTCTCAGTTTTTATGGTTAGTCTTTAGTGACAAAACATATATGGTAAGGGTTGAACCTGCTGTCTTTTCCATTCTTTTCTCTGCGTCTTTATGTCATATGTGCAGCTCTTAGTAACATCATACGTCATCATCATACGTAACATCCATGCTTCTTCTTTATTTCCCAATTATACGTATACGTAAGATGAGTGGACCGCATTTGTTGGAACAGCATTTTTTCCAAAAAATCTAATTCTATGATCTTAGGCTATTCTCTATGCAAAACTAAACGAATTTGGGTCATAAAATAAAGTCTCTTTTCTCAAGCAGGGTAGCGAAATGAGCTGAAGTTTTACCTTAAACAGGGTCAGGGTATGAGGGCCTCGACGGCACACGTCTATACTTAACAGCTTCCCTTAACCAGATAATTTCACGAGCGACTTAATCTCCCCTCTCCCTTCAGGGTGGCAAAGGGGAGTACCTGTCATGTATCACGCCGATTTTATCACGTATCACAGAAAAATAAAGTAAAATATCATCATTTGATCTGAGGAAATCAGAGGTCGAGGAACGAGAAAAAAGGGCAAGAAGTTGGTGTCATAACTATCTATTTTTATGTCTCTGCTTCTAGTTCAAAACGATATTAACCATCACGGAAATTTCCAAGGGAAGTTATGCGTCACGCATTGTGAAAATAGTTAGTCACGCATCACGCTACTTTCCCAATCACGCCTCAACGCGACTAATTTGGGCCCGATCACCCATCGCGCTGATAATTTGGGTCCCATCACACGTTACGGAAAACCTCTTTGCCACTCTGCCCCTTGAAACTCCAAGGAGGTATTATTAATTTTATCTTGTTTCCAGTATGGCTAGTCACGAATCGGAAATTGTACTATCCGCTTCACCCAGACTACTACCAAGAAAGACGACAAACAACTGGAACAAAACCGGATGTTTTTTTTATGGCAAACTGAGATTACTAACTCAGACAACTTAGTCGTCGAAGATCATCCGAAGTTTCGGGGAGTTTGCGTGATTCAATTAAACGAGGTAGTTGAAAAGTAACTGTGTTAAGTTCAGTTAGATGCAAAGTATCCATGACGTTCTCTAATAAAGAAGTGGCTTATGGAGCTACAACCAGTTGCAAAAATGTTGTTGAGACAGTCGGACGAAAAAACGATCTTTCTTCCTTCAAATCGCTGCTGGTCACAGGTTTGTGATATATAATACTGACCTCCCCCCTCCCTTCCATTCAAATTTGTTCCTCCAAGTGTTGAGCATGGTCTTGTATTGCTAGCAACTTTGTTAAGGGGCGGAGGGGGGATCAAAAGCGCAAGAGTGGAGAGGCCATTCAAGGCAAATAACAGTACAATGTCTCAAGTACTTTTGCAACTGGTCGTAACTGTCAGGCGAGGAGTTTGTTTTTCCAGTGAATTCAACTTGGCTCCTAATTTGTTTTTTACCAGGAATCAACTGGTATGGGTCATATTATATGATGTACATAAAAGTTTCAGAGAACGTGATTCTTTTTTCTCGCGTTTCCACAGTTGCTCGAAACCGTTGCTCTTACAAACTGAATTGGGTCATAAATGTCAACATGGCTTTTTGCTTTCCTGGAAATTGCATTAGTTTTACCTTCAGTGGACATGCACGTTAATTTTAGTTCCTTGGCGCTGTTCTGATAAAACATAAGAAAGAAACTGCTTCGTTTTCTTCAAAGTATTAAATTATAATTCTTCATTCCTGTAGTAGAAAAAAAAATCTATGAGCAGTTATTTGACTTAAAGTCTGGAAAAGACTAGGATTGAAACCAAGAGAGGACGAAGGACCTTTATTCTCTCTTGATTGGAACCTTCTCCTCGTCTTAATAAGGTGTAGACTTTTTGGGTGTTAAATTGAAACCTAGATGTACAGTATACAAAAAACCTTCTGTGCTTTGTAATCACAGGCTGCCAAGAGTTCCACACGCTCAAGAGGACAAGAAACAAGAAAAATAATTATTGACCAATTGAGCTCTTTACCCTGGGTTAAATCAGAACCCTTTCGATGCCAAGGAGGAATGTCACTGATAAGCTTTAGTATGCTGGTGCACGCCATTAATGTCTACTTGAATGACAACTATCCAGAAAGCCCCCAAAACTTTAATTTCCAGGCAGAACTGAAGGCTGCAAGCCACTGGCATTGGTTGGATGACGGAGAATGGTGTCTTGAACTTGGTCCTCATGATGATCGTCGCGTAAAATTTGCTGCGAAACAGACATTTGATAAATGGGCAGAAGAACTGAATAAAGAGAGGGAACAGCCGTCCCAAAAACCTGGAGTAGACAGCCGCTCTTCGGGTAGAGACGAAAGAGTGTCAGGTAAACGAGCGGGGACATGTTCTCCTCGGTCATCTTCAGGAATTTTGTAAACTCACGAAATTTCTCTTTCGAAGGCAATGCTGCTTTTTGCGTTCCAGGCTCTTCCATTTTAAGGCACCCGCTTCCAACCACATCTTGTTGATAAGTTTAACGTTTAGTAAACATTTTTTTCTGTTGCTGGTTGCCGTTCCTTGGATTAAGGTTGTCAGAGACTTTGCCACCTAAAACTATACATCAGACACTTTTCAGTGACACAATGTTTAGTTGAATATGCTACGATGCTCTTTTTGGCGATGCTATTTTTACTACTCCCATACTAATTTGTTACTAATTTTCGAAAATACTTTTTCTTGATAAATTTCTTTTTAAAACTTGACATTATCAGGATTGTTAATTTTTTTTACCCAGGTCAATGTTTATGGCCTTGAACTTTCAAGGTTACTGAAAACTTGTAAGGCAATAAAATAGCCTCCAATTTGCTATTTTTTGTTGCAAGTTAGTATCTTGGGATTTTTTTTTTCTGCTTCCTCTTTTCATTACATTGTGACGACTTCAACCGGGGCCACCTAGGGACTTTCAGTCAATCAAAAACCGCTCCTTTAACAAAGAATTGGGCGTGCGGACGTCAACAAGAACTGTCCTATTCTTCGATTGGTTAGTTTCAATCCTAAATTTCGCCTTTTAGAATGGCTCACTCCTAGCGTGAGCCAATCAGAGACCAAGAATCTTGTTTTCTTTTTTCCTCGTGATCAAATTTAAATTTTTACTTGTTAACGTGCGTTGCCTTTTTTAAGGTGAAAGTCCGTAAGTCGAGAAAGTTGGATGCCCCTGATGCATATTTTCTTAAACTAGACAATTACGATTTACTTTTAAAAATAATTTCCCAGTTTTACTTCGATATTTTCTTAAGACACCTTTTGATGCACAGCGAGTGCAAATATCATAAATGCCCCTCCCTGTAAGGATGCCAGCTTTTCCTGAGCTCAACCCTTTTTGCATGCATGAAGACAGTGACCCACCCCCAGCATTTTTTCAGCCGACCCCAACTTGTACTTTAGGATCAGTCCCTAAGTGTATACGACACACCGTTCTAAACCGCGAAAAATTTAGGATGGAAACTAACCAATCGAGTTCCCGATGAGGTCTGCACGCCCTATTCTTTGTTTAAGGAGCGGTTTTTGATTGGCTGAAAGTCCTTAGGTGTCCCCGGTTGAAGGCGTTACACTGTAATATTTGCCCTTTTTTCAGTTTTTTTTTTAATAAACTGAAGTGATTACGAATTAAATTGTTCATTTTCTTTCTTCCTGAAGATCTTGAGGAAGGAATTTTTTCCTTGATGACGTATTATGACTTTGAGATGGAAAACGAATCAGCAACTACGTCTCAGTCTACTGTTAAAGGTAAAACGTTGTGAGGACTTGATGCCGTTATATTCGGCACTATGGTAAGAAAAGTCTTGATAAGCTTTAGTTACATGTAACATTAATATTGTCCTTAAAGTTGGTCTCTTTCATCATCCTCATGTTTTTTTCTTGCCACTTGCAAATATTAATTTTCAGGTACCAACTGCACTCCTTCCCTGACCTCTATATCTAGAAAAGGCTTTATAAAGTGAGGCAATGTAAACGTGGTATAGTAATTAATTACAAGCCACGCCGCGAAATAAAGCTCAATAGGTGAGGCAAGTGCGGACTCCCCGGAAACCCCTTTTCTACTTTCCATAGCCTTAATTTTTGTTTTAACGTGTAGGTTCAACTTCCTCTAAAATTACAGAAAATGCCATACGCCAAGAAGTTGATCTCAAGATTGGCAGAAACACAGAACAAAAGAGGTGAGCCAAGCCAGTAATAAGCATTATGGCCGACATGGACCATCTGTATTGAGTTATAAGCAGAAAATCATCTTTTTATTTCAATTCGAGGCCCAAAAACCTTCTCATCAAAAAGCCCACCAAGCTCTCTATTGCCAGCACTAGCTGCACGTCATTTAAACTGCTATTAATAGTTTGAAAAAGGTAACGGACTTAAGTTGCTTTGCTACCGTCTCGATCTTGGACGAAGACATCGGGAAGAGCAAAAAGTGTTTGTCTGTATTGCTTAACGGACCGGTCATAAATTAGAGGAGGGGGAGGACTGTTGCATTATTTTGATGCGCATGTTTTTGGCTGGTCCTCCCCTTTTCAGGTGCAGAAAAAAGGCTGACCCTCCAAAATAGTTTCCACAAATTATCATGCCGCCGTCCCCCACCACCCGAGAGGGAATAAAAGACTTTAAAGAACACCTCTTAAATAAAACGTTAATAAACGTTATTAAGAAAATCTAATACAGAAAACACTTTTATAAGTGAATTTTGTAGACAGAAATGACAAGCCCTCCAATAACAGTGTAAAGAACTGAACAAAATGCATCTTGCCATTTGAGAGGCCCTGTTAGGGGAAAATTCCGACAAACGACTTGGCCTTGTGACAAGATTTTGGGAAGAGAGGGACTAAAGTAAAAAAGCTTGCTATGAGGGTGACTGAGTGTATCTTAAAATCCAGTTCAGGACTCGACTTTAGAAAACAATGTTAATGTCAAGTTGTTTCACATATTTACACCACTGCAGAAACTAATTGTTAAGTTATTGTAGTTGGTCACAAGATATAACGTTTTTATTCTCTTTTGACAATGCCGTACTTATCCTTTTATGTTTGTTGTTGTTGTTTATACGCAACTCAGGAGAGGTCTTGGGTATATGTGAAAAGAAGGACCCTGAAGTTACATCATGGACTGTTAAAACATTTTTTCTCGGCTACCTTCATCAGATTCAATAAGTGTTTAGTATTATTTACAGAAGGTTGACATCATTCTAAGCCTGAGAAGATCGATTTCATTTATACTCCCTAACCCTAAAAACTTCGCATGAAACCCCGTCTTCTGCGTTGACATGAAAATTAAGGCGCTCTCCATATTTGCACCTTCTCACTTCCTTCTAATTTATGACTGGTCCCTACGCTGCCTATGAGACAATTAAACAATTGTTTTGTCCGCCCATCCTTAGCCCAGAAGTAATTAGCAAAGTCAACTAAATTACTCACGGTTTTAGGTAAGAATAATGGTATAAACCTTACTCTTGACGTCCAGGGAAAAATTTAAACTCAGCAATACCGACCTACACCGGCGGTTCCTGAGGAGAAAGATAAGATACAATCAAATCTCAAAAACTGTATTTTGCTAAAAGTCCCGACTTGCATTTACTATTGTTTCCAATGCATACTCGGTGTTGGGGTACTCAAATCCTCGCACTGGCCACAGTACTGTCAGCAATGTGATCGTTTTTTTTTTAAAATAGTTTTTGATATGACAGAAGCCATGTTTTATTCCGCCGTATATATACACTACACATGCTTGTTAAAGTTTTTCGAGTTATATTAACCTTATCAATAACATCCACCCATTTACCTACACAGACTAGCTGAGTCATTGGCCGCCTGTACAGTGGAAAGTTAAGGACGGTTGTTTATTCGACCGGCTGGACCTTCGTGTTATGGACACTGCACAAAAAGAAAACTTCCACAAAGCAATAAGTCAAGTCGTACAATATTTGAAAAATATTCCCCAAAACAAACTGGGACATTAAACCTTCAACCAAGCACCATGAAATTGAACTACAACAAATGCAATTTAATAATAATAACGTCTTTAATAATAATAATAACGTCTTTATTAAAAAGCATCCGATAAAATTACATATCTGATGTTACAGTAAAAATATATATTGATAGAAAAAAAAAATTACAATGATTAAGACGAATAAAAAAGATTAAATTGATTAAAAATACATATGGGGTATTTACACAGCTAGATTATATTTAAAAAATAATCTATTAAAAAAGCTATCTTTGAAACGTTCAGTGTTAATGCTGGGCCTGACAATGGATTTCCTTCGAAGGTTTGCAATACAGTCTTTGTACCTTGGGAGCAAGCTTTTTAATCGATGGTCATCGCGTTTGAGGTTATAAAAAAGGCGTCTGTCGCTTTTCTCCAAAAGTTCATATATGTTGTAATTGACTGACGTATAACGCCTCTTATAGCATCTTTTTAAAAACCTTTGTATGACAGTAAGTTCGGAAACACTTGCAGCATAAACTGAAAGACCGTATAATAACTTAGAACGGCTTGGAAACTAAAATTTCGAGGACGTTTTTGGACTTTTTACATTTAGGGCATGAATTTTTCGTCATTTCAGGCCATGGAACCTAAAAATGAGCCTAGCTAGCTGTAAAAAGGGGCATTACGGAGGCAATACGTCCTAGCCGGCATGATCACATGCTGTTTACGGAAAATTCCCTCATTCATGTCGGGAAATTCTGTATTTTGAAGCCTCCCCTAGGGCATGACTCAGCAATTGAGGACATTTCTGCTACGTTGTCAATGTTGGTTAGCATGCAAGGATTTTTCCCATGCCTATCGTCAATGATTTGCTCACTGGTAATAGAGGGGGTAGCCCCAGAGTGGTTTTGCATTGAAATTGGCATGCAACAGAATTTCGCATGCTCTGTAAGCATAATTTGAGGTTCCGTGACCTTCTCACCCAGGCCGCGAGAAGCCTAGGTTCTAGTAATAAGTAATTCATACCCAGAAAAATCTCCGGCATGCCGGGCATGCCATAATCTGGGTCATGCCACTCGAACAACAGTTTCATTTTTAAGCAGGGAAGGTGTAGACCCATATAAAGCAGGAATATGTAAAGGAAACTCATCGAAAACTTTTTCGCATCTTTGTGGCGATATTCTCTCATGGCCCGTCAACTGATTACTGGGGGTTGTGAAGAAAAGATACATTAGGACCAAAGGTTAAAGCCTGTCCTGTTACATCATTTGCATGTTACCTAGAGTTCTAATAAATAGGTCATAAAATAGGATTTAACGAGAGCGAATTTGTTTCTTAATCGGTGTATAAAAAAAGTGAAGCTATCAAATGAGAAGTTTATAAAGTATCAAAATTATTAAATTAAAAGCTCAAATAATTAGGAAAATTCCTATACGAAAATAATGCTAGAGACATTAAATTGATCAGATAAAATTCTCAGAAAATATGTCGAATAAAAGCCTCATTGCTTGCTTTTGTTTTTGCGTAAAGGTAGCCAAGTTGAAAAAGCGACTAAATCTTAGTTTTTTACGTTGAACATGTTTATTAGCTTAGTTTTCGTCCGTTTTAAAAGCTTTATAACCCAATCATAATTTTCGGGTTAAAATAGTACAAAGTCATTTCAAAAACTATGTTTATTTAAAGAAGAGCCGACAAACGTGAACATTTTGTAATTCAGAAATCGGACCCAGCCAGGTTATTTAAGCTTAGAATTTTTTGCATTTTAGCGTCGTATAAATTTACCAGAATCGCCTCTCAAAGGCTTACTGTAGTAAAGCATTTTGTAGTACACTCGTAGACAAGCAATGTAAGGCATAAGTGGTTGCTTGCATAAGACATCCAAAAGAAAAAAATTAGTTTTGTGGACCTAAACGCACATTCACAGACTGCTTATTGAGTTGTTTACAACTTTGCATTGACACCTGCAGCATGTTCATTTTTTTAAAGCGAAATCCAAATCTGATTTTGGCATTTGATTTACGGATATTTTATTTTGTCTCCAAAAGTGATTGGTTTCTATATTTTTGAAGTTTCCTCTAGTCTTCTTAACAGCAGAAGAAGATTACAAGACGTAGAAACAGAAACAATCCGAAGTGAACGAGTTGAAAACCACTTATGCCTGAGAGTTCTTAGGCATGCTGAACAGCAAGATAAACTGAATGCGAAAAGGATAATTCACGGGATTTTTTCGATATTCAGGCTTTTTCTTTACCAAATTAATACTAAATTTGTACTTACAGTCTCTCGCAGAATCCATTTCTTGTCCAGCATTCACCAACATCTTAACCATGCACCGCAGGGAAAAAAAAAAGACAAACAAGTGCGAAGAGACATGACGACATCGTGACGCCACAACTGCCACGCTACAACAAACTAAATTCATCGTCATCCGAAAACACTTCTGCGGAAATTCGGCCGATTTCGTGCGAGCTCGGGGTATCTTCGGATGGAGCAGATGACGTTGCTGAAAGGACTATCGTCAGCAAGGAGTAAAACAGTTTGCAAAATTCGCATAGCCGACAAGAAGCGCACTGAAAACCTAAGCAAAATCTCTCTGAGAAGGCAGTCCAAACTCACCAAATCAGAACGTCTTTGCAGTATTAACGTCGTACTCTCGTACTGACTTGAACGTCCTGGTAAGCTTAATTTTCACCAGTCTTTTAACACTGTTGACCGAGAGACATATACTGACGGAGAAGATTTGTTATCTTATTGTTTAAAACGCTTTTCCGCGATCAAATTTAAATCTGGACCCAGAAATATCAGTATCGCTTTGAAATAAAAGGATTAATTGATCTGTAATTGCAAGTGAAGTATTCTATTTTATGCATGAATAATGTTGTTTTGTTGTGCTTTTTATTTATAAATCCAGGCTTCTGTCTTCAGTTTTGCCAGTCGATCCCGTGACATACATTGTGACAAACATAACTTTTTTTGGTTATAATCTGCATTTATTGCCAGGCATGAAACCTGTAGCTTCAAGCTCCCTAACATATATTTGGCGATTATGTGATTCTCAGGATATGATGCTGGAGCGAACATCAAAATCAGTCACGCTGGGCATGCCAATTTCATGCCCAGCATGCCAAACCAGACGAGCAAAAACTGGGAATGAATTATCAACCCGGCGAGAGATCTGGGACCTAAGTTTAGCTAAGTCAATTTTGGGCTGCGAGGGCATGAACACATTTTTTCCATGCCTATGACATGTAATTTCTAAGTACCAATGTTCCCTTGAATTTTGTCATGCCTAAATATATAAAATTTTCCCTCTCTCATTAATCCTCAGACTGAATGCGATTTTTACGCTCGCTAAGCATGTTCAACTGAAAATCATGCCCATACCCTCATTCAAAACAAAATGCTATCAAATTTTAGTTTCCAAGCCGTTCTTAGGGATCACAATTGAATTAAAGAGGTGGTCTATTTCATCTTGTGTATATCCTTCTTTACTTAGGCTTCTCATGACAAATAAACACTTGTTGGCTTCATGGAGCTTGGCCTTGACATGCAAGCCAAACTTACAATTACCTTGAATTGTGACGCCTAATAAAGAAATGTTATTATATTGTTTGATATTGTGAGACATTGGGTGGACAGTTGAATTGTCTCTCTTACGCATAATTAGCTCCTTACATTTACTAGTGTTACAATGCATGTCATTTGCAACAATCCATAAACTTGGACAAGGCAATGTCAGATATATCCGGGGAATCTTTAGTAATCGTGACTAAGACGGTTGAATCGTCTGCATATTTAAACAAGGATATATCTTCATACCCATCTATCTCTAGGTCATTCAAAAATATGTTGAAAAGATATGGACCACTGACACTTCCCTGTGTTGTTCCCTTGTTAACAATTTTCCACTGGCATGTCAAATTATTAAAAATCACCCTTTGTTTTCTACCTTCGAGAAAGTTGGCATACCAGTTAACAATGAATGAATCAAGTGGACTATGTTTCAGCTTTTCAACTAGAAGATTGTGTTTAACGTTATCAAAGGCTTTAGAGAAATCCATCGTGAACATTCTCACCGCTAAGGTGTCCCGTTTATCCAATGCCGCAAGAAATGGATGTTGCATTTTCAACAGAGCGTTAACACAACTTCCTTCTGAACGGTACTCAAATTGAGAATTATTCAGATATTCCTCCAGGCACCTCTTGTTAAAAACGTTATACACTGTTCTTTCAAACGTTCTGGCAATAACTGGAGTAACATTGATTCCTCTAAAGTCCGCATATTCGACTGGTGTCTCGACTTTTGGGAGTGGATTGATGTTAGCCTCCTTCCAACGACTTGGCCAGATCTGCCGAGCAGGAGATAAGTTCCATAAATTCTCAATAACTGGGGTAAATATCACAGCATAAGATTTCACAAATGCCAAGCATGGTCACAGGACTGATCTTCAACAAAGTTCTTTGCTCTGAAAGTTTCATAAATTAAGCATCCTTTTATACACAGATCAAATTTTTGATCACGATTACATCGATTTTTAAGTTTTTTATAAAGTGGAATACATTTACGTAATTTAAAATGACGGATCAAAGACGGCGAATGCTTTCAGTTCCTTCTTTAATGACGTCATCACGACATCACTGCTATTGTTTAACCCTTTAAACCGTACCATCAAAATTCAAATTCTCATTTGTTATCCCTATACGTTTTCAAAAGAAGTAGTGGGGAGAATTTGTTGAAGTATCAATTAGATTCGTCTTGGTTGATCATTTCCTTAATTCTCATGATCACTCTGTTTTATAAAGCAGTGATATTACAAGGAGAAATTTGACGCTCATCACTCTTAGGACTTAAAGGGTTAAGACAAATAATGTCTCAGCCAGCTTCTTGATTTTATCAGACACTTTACTACTATTTATTAATAACCATTTTTCGCTCTATGGCTACTTTGAGGGAATTTGGGTTCTGCCAATAAATACTTCATAATGACATCAATTTTCATCATTGTGTCAATCAAACGGTTTTGCTTAACTATCAGAAATGATTAATACACCATTCCGTCTAATTTTGGTGGCTGTATCGTGAGGGGTTTTTAATTATAGCGCAATCGTGGAATCAAAGCTTCCGATGTAATAAAAATCGACGATTCTGCGACGTATAAAATGAATTTAATTCGTCTGAAGAATTAAATTCCTCCAAGACGGAGGATAAAAACGTCTGTAGAGCGTCTCATTTTAGAGGTCGCACACTTACGAAAATTGAGCCAGCAGGCTGTCGTGGCGTCGGTTTCCTTACTTCGCATGGGCACAAGTTCTCGGTAGCATTCTCATTCCTAGAGTCCTCGCTTTATTTGGTCAAGTGATTTGAGAATAAGGCCAGGCGCCCCTGGAACAAGATTGTCGATTTAACATCATTTCTGTGGTTTTCCCGCGTGCCTTCTCGAGTAGTTCCATCTTCTGGCAAAATGCAACAAGAAATTTGATTGAACTGAAAACCATCCCTGAACTAACTCTGTTCGTGCTAAAGCGGTTGTTGAAAGAATTTTCCTTCAGTGTTAGTATGTAAGTCATTCGACATTAGACACTCTTTAAAAATTGCAGTTTTATAACTTTAAATCCCTGTTATTGTTCCTTTGCGAATATTCTCTGGGCCTTTTTGAGGCACGTGTTCGAAAATTCGGCTAGATATAAATGACGTGAAACTCTACATCTGAGGCCACAGAGGAGTATGAAACGATGATGGTGCAGATGTTGTGTTCCAGTAATAGTTTCTTAAATTATGTCGGGCAGTCGAAATAACTAAACTGAAACATTTTACTGAGCAAAGACAATGAGGAATGGCTCGATATTTCGTAATCTTCAGAATTGTCGCTATGCAATAGTACTAACAATTTTTGCACGGTTCAGATTCAAATCTCGCTTGCAACGCACGTGTTCGGCCTGCGTAGCAGCGAAGAGGACCGGCGCCTGCTACGCAGGCTAATGCCGTATGTATTCGATTAAGCGCCCTGGGCCTGCTTAAAGTTTTGGACCTTGACAGTGGCAGGAGCCTATTACTTGGAACCTCCATACGTGCTGTACCCTTGAGTCAACCCTTTCCGATAAAGAATGGCGAAAAAAGATGGCGACTATAAGTAATCTGGCTTAAAAATATTGCTATATTTTGTAGCACTGTTCGGATGTTTCAACTTTGCTCGTAATGTTGTATTCCATCGCCCTTATTTAAAAGGACCTTTTCAAAGAATTAAAAAGTGAAACTCTTTGTTGGAGAGCCAGACTTTTTAAAAGGGAATTGGAGCGCTTACGGTAAGCTCTGCATGGAACTGGCAAATCGGAGGCAATTTTGCGCCTTCCGCGGCCTTTGTAAGTAGAAACTGTGGTGCCAGGAGTGTGTCTCCAATAGTCGGGCTCCCTTTAACACACCTGCTAAAAGACTGAAGGCAGGAAAAGTATTTTAATCGCTATTTATGTTTTATTTTTTTTTTTTCTGCATCTGTAAAGTACTCTAAAATGCTAAAAAGAAACGGGATCGTGAAAACTCCTTGACATTGGCTTATATATGGTATGGGAGATCAACAGCTGCTCTGTTTTGGGACTCCTGATACCTTCTGTAAGTATTGGGGATCCAAATACATGTAACTTTAGCATTTTAAATGAGTGGATTATAGAAATAATAAAAAAAGACGAGACCCGATGTCAATTTTTGCCCAATTTGTGTTCTGTGAGAACATCATTTCGGCGCGGATTTCGTACTTTCCCTTGGAAAGACTGAAACCATACGGCCTGGGTCTATTGTAGTGATCAGAAACCGACCCGAACAATAATGTTAGTGAATATTAGTGCATAAATCATAATCCACATGATCCAAACTTTTTAGAACTTCAGGAATCATTTTTGTTTATCCTTACTGACAAGAAAGTAAATGTAGTAAATCAGTAAATTTCCCGCTATTTTTTTTGCTTTGCAAAGTTTCGAAATTATACAGACGCC